TTATTTAAACAGGGACACAGGAAGTACCTCCCTCTCTCGGGGAAGCTAGGAGCACTGCAGGAGGTAAGATTTTATCTCTGAGCTCTGACCTCTCGGCTTTTCTCTTTTACCTTGGCTCTGTGTTTCTTATTTTAATAAGACGATTGGTTACATCTACAACCTTTGAACTGTAAGCCAGCCCCAATGAAATGTTTTTCTTTATAAGAGTTGCCATGGCCATGGTTGCTGTGGGATTTCTTTCTGTATGCTGTGAATATGTGTTGCTTTGACTAGTTGATAAATAAAGCTGTTTGGCCTATGACAAGGCAGCTTAGAGGCAGGCGGGAAATCCAGCAGAGAGACAGGAAGAAGAAAGGCAGAGGCGGAGGAGACACCATCCCACTGACCAGGGAGCAGCATGTAATGGCACACAGATAAAGCCATGGAACTTGGGGCAACATATAGATTAATAGAAATGGGCTGAGTTTAGTTAAGAGCTAGCTAGCAAGAAGCTTGAGCCATAGGCCATACGAGCCACAGTTTGTAATTAATATAACCCTATGTATGTTTATTTGAGTCTGACTGGCTTCAGGGCTGGGTAGGACACAGGAAAATTCCAGCTACATATGGTGTCTCTTCACAGCAATAGAAACCGTAACTAAGACATAGTGTAACTCTTCCTTTCTCAGGTGATTTCCTTTTCTTTATTATACTCAGGTTTATCTTGGATCTCTTGTGTTGATATGCTGCATCTTGTAAAGTCTCTTTATCTTTGCCATGAACTCTTATTCTTTTGTGGGAGTTGTTTTCTTGAGTGATGTTAAATTGCAGCAGTGCTCACAGTCATAATTTTTATTTTTTTCTGGTGAGTTTTCTTTCACTACCTTTGTTTTCTCTATGTTGGTTATTCAATATTTGACTATCTTGAGTTCTTTCTGGCCTAGCTGCTTGTCTAGATTCATATAAAGGTCCTAGCTATGTCCAAGGCCATGAAGAAATATACAGTTTTCTTATTCATAGGAGTCACATGTGAATTCTTCTAGGTTTTATTGATGTTTATACAACAGATCAAGCATAATGCTTATAATAATTGCTTATAAAATTGAGTATTGTGCCACAACCTCCCCTCACCCCCCACCGTGTGTGTGTGTGTGTGTGTGTGTGTGTGTGTGTGTGTGTGTGTGTGTGTAAATTGGACTAGAAAATTCAGGTCACCATGCATATACCCTATTTCTGTTTTCTCATGAAAGACACTAATTTCCCTTTCATTGTGCCTCTTATTTTGAAGAACCAGCTGAGGAATGTAGTCAGTGCTTATTTACATTTTCCTAGCTGATGTTTTTTCATGGTTTTATTAAAGATGAGGTAGCTTTTGTTTTTATTCTTGTTTAGAGATGTTGATAGTTTGACATTTTATCTCTAGGTATTTTACTGAAGGGACTGTTCTTGCACACTATGCAGATGTTTTGGGTCTTCTGCTTAGATTGCGGCAGATTTGTTGTCATACTCATCTTCTTACAAATGGAATGTCTTCGAGTGGTCTTCCCGGTAAGGAAATGTGATTGGTTTATAACATTATATTTGCTAAATAGTTCAATCAGAAGGACATATTTTTATATGACTTGAATTTGGTTTGTAACTTTGCTATTTATGCCTTACTTTAGTTAAGATTTTTTTGTTGCCGGGTGGTGGTGGTGGCGGCGGCAGCGGCGGCGGCGGCGGTGCCGGCGGCGGCGCACGCCTTTAATTCCAGCACTCGGGAGGCAGAGCTAGGTGGATCTGTGAGTTCGAGGCCAGCCTGGACTACCAAGTAAGTTCCAGGAAAGGCGCAAAGCTACACAGAGAAGCCCTTCTCGAAAAACAAAAACCAAAAACAAAATTTTGTTTTTGTTTTTTTTTAATTGAGACAGGATTTTTCTGAGTAACAGTACTGGCTGTCCTGGAACTCACTTTGTAGACCAGGCTGGCCCCAAACTCACTGAGATCCACCTGCCTCTGGCTCCCAAGTGCTGGGATTAAAGGCATACACCACCATCACTCAACTAGTTAAGATTTTTAAAAATTAGCACCTTTATGTATTTGTATATGTATATGCATACATGCATTTGTGGAGGTCAAAGGACAACTTGCAAGAGTCAGTTCTTTCCATTCCATGTGGGTCATGTTGTCAAGCATGGGGTAGGTATCCTTACCTGCTGAGCAATCTTTCTGGCTCCAAGAATTTTTTTATAAATGAAGTGGAAGTATGATGTCTTTGCAGAATTTCCAGAAGAACGTTCACACTAGTTCTTTCTCATATGCTGCTATTGTGGCAGATATTGTGTGATGTGTATCAAGTGAGATGGCATCTTCTGAGTTTTTCTTAGAATTCCAAATTCATGATGTGTTTTGCAGGTGCCAGAATAAAGATAAAGATAACTAAACAAAGTTCCTTATGGAAGATAAACTATTCTAGTTACATTAAAAAGTTTGTTTTGCAATTAATTTTTGAGCCTCTTTTTTTTTCTCCTAGGAAATAATACACCTGAAGAACTGAGAAAGGCATTAATAAAGAAGATGAAGTTAATTCTGAGCTCTGGTTCAGATGAAGAATGCGCAGTTTGCCTGGATTCATTAACAGTTCCTGTGATAACACATTGTGCACATGTTTTTTGTAAACCTTGTATTTGCCAGGTCATTCAAAGTGAGCAGGTTAGTTTGTTGTTCAGTATGGAGTCAGTGTTTGATGGAGTGGTACAACTTTCTTTGGTGTAATGAAAACCCAACCAAGTCCTGGGATGATAACATGTTCTAACTTGAATTTAATAATGCACCTTTCACAGTTAATTATTTCAGGTGATATGTTTATCATAAATTAAAAGGCATTACTTTTGGGAGGTGTAGGTGTAACCATCTTATTAAATAAGAAACACAGAGCCAATGTAAAGGTGAAAGCTCAAGAGATCAGAGAAATAGCTAAGAGCTAAAAACCTTACCTTTCACTGTCGCTTCTGTCCTTCTCAGCAAGCCAGCTACTTCCTGTCTGTTTGTCTTTTTATAGACTTTCTATTCTGCCTTCTCATTGGTTGTAAACCCAACCACATGATCTCGTCACTGCCTGTCTATACAGACCTCCAGGTCTTCTGTGGTTGGTATTGAGATTAAAGGCGTGTGTCTCCATGCTGGCTGTATCCTTGAACACACAGCGATCTGCTTAGCTCTGCCTCCCAAGAGCTGGGATTAAAGGCATGCACCACCACTGCCCAGCTTCTGCTATGGCTTGCTATTAGCTCTGACCCCCAGGCAACTTTATTTATTAACATACAAATAAAATCACATTTCAGTACAATTAAAATATCAACATAGGGAGGCACTATGTTTTAGTCAATAGTGCTAGTTCTAAATTTTAGATCCTTGTGTTCAATTAAATACATTAATAAAGTGAAACACAAGGAATTTAAGTTTTATAGTAGCCACATTTTTTAAAAAGTAAAAAGCAAAGTGTTTATTTAATTTAGTATAATATATTTAAAGTAAACTATTTATTGTATTTTTTTTTCTTAAACTAAGTTCAAAATCTGATGATATTGTACTTTTATCACTCTAATCTGGCTCAGCTATGTCTCAGGAATCTGATTGACACATACAGCTTTTGCCGTGTTGAACAAAGTAGAATAAAGTAGGTAGATTCATTTGTGAAAATGTTTGAAACTGGATAATACTTTAAGCAATCTTTCAGCTAATACAAATTAAAAATATTTCAAATTGATGTGTAACATACATGTGGGAAAATACACAATTATAGTTATAGGCTTGACTATGAAGTCAGCATAGCTGTATGAACTACTACCCTTTTCTACTCCCCCAACTCATTTATCTTTCCTTCCTAAGAGGTAGTTCTTTGAATAGATTTTTAATGTTTAAATTTTAGTATCTTTTTGTTTTGCAGTGATACTGAGTATCTAGTTAAGATACAACCTCATTTTATTAGATCTTGCTTTGAATGAACTTGTAGTATTTGAGAGCTATGGACTTCTCAAGCTCTTATAAGCTTTATAAACTACAAGTTTTATAAACCCTTGCAGTGGTTCTCAACCTTCCTAATGCTGCAACCCTTTAATACATTTCCTCATGGTGTGGTGACCACCAACTATAAAATTATTTCGCTGCTACTTCATAATTGTAATTTTGGTAGTGTTATGAATTGTAATGTAAATATCTGATATGCAAAACAGGGTTGCAACCCACAGATGAGACTTCTTTTGGAGAATTGCATGCATGTTTACTGTATTATAGTTAAGTTCAAGAAATTATTCATCACATTTTACTTAGTAGCAGATGATACTCAGTGCCATGAGCTTCTGCCATTAGTCAAGATTGCACTCTTTTACACTGCCCTTTATATATGTCTCTTACTTTTTTTTCTTTCTTTCTTTTTTAACCTCTGGCCACCTCTCCAGCCTGAGGACTGGAATTCTTTTTTTTTTTTATTGAAGGAGGGAGGAGGTCTTAAATACAGGCTTACAGCACAATGGGAGAACCCTGGAGGGCAGAAGTTTACTACAGATGTTTTACAATCTTCCATCTAAGCTGTTAACGCCCTTTATGCAGGATGCACAGACAAGGAACTTCCCTTAAGCATTGAGGAGGGTGAAACCTGGGAAGGAATTAGCATAGGGAGGATATCAAGGTCAAGGTCAGTAAGCAAGGCAACAGTTACCCAAAACAGGGCCCAGGGACCTACAGGTCCCCCTTTTACTAATAAATGAACTTCTGACTTAGGTTGCATGGGACATCAGCAGGTCACCTTACCCGTCATGGAGACGCCTGCCCAGGCCACACAGGCGCTCTGTGTTAGGTTGGTGAGCACTCCCTAGGCATTACCCATCTCATGTCTCTTACATGAGGACATGTTTGTATGTTTGGAGTTCAGGTACAGGTTGATCCTAAGTAGATGAATGTGACAAAAAGCCTGAATAAAATGTTAACCATAAGAAGTGTATAACTTTAAGAAAATTTAGATAAATTTATATCTCTATCCTTATGACAAGTGTGAATCATTCTTTGATCTTTTGTATATAGCCACATGCTAAATGCCCTTTATGCAGAAATAATATACATGGAGATAATTTATTAGAATGTCCTCCAGAAGAATTGGCATGTGACAATGAGAAAAAGTCCAATATGGAATGGACATCCAGTTCAAAGGTAAAGTAGCCATGGGCAGATATTCTACTGTTATTTCATATTTCATGAGGAAATATCATATAAAATAGTAATTGTAATTCTGTTTTAATCCTGTCATTGCATATTCTTTTGGTGCTACTGGCTTGTATTGATATTTAGTGTTAAATTGAAGTTGGAAAAGGAAGGGATTTGGATTATTATGGTATTTTTTTCAGTCTCTATTCTTTTACTTTTGCTTTTTAGTTAAATTATATGAAAACCTTTTCAATGTTGGATTTGTTCAGTGAATACTGCATTATGTGAACCTGATTAAAATTTGTGTGTGCTAATAAATTTTTAAAAACTAGAATGTTTGGACTTATCTTACCAATTGAGATGGAATCTAATGGATACAATGGGTTTTTTGTTTTGTTTTGTTTCAGATTAATGCTCTAATGCATGCTTTGATTGAATTAAGGACAAAGAACCCCAACATAAAAAGTTTAGTTGTTTCTCAGTTTACCACATTCCTGTCTTTAATAGAAACACCACTTAAGTAAGTTTAACAGTGCTTTCTACTTCACATAGGAGGATTTAGTACTTGTGTGTAGTTTGATAGCAAAAAAAAAAAAAAAAAATGTTTTACCAGGTTTAGTCATTTCATCTGTATAAAATGATATTCCATGTAATTACAGAACTTCTCCTGAGTATATCTTAAAATTAAGTTCTGAATTAATCAGGAAATAATTGACTTAGTATTTGGCAGACAGCTAGGGGCTTTATTGATAAATAAATGAAGGACTGAATGTGTAGTAGCTACGAAAGTGCTTACTTAGCTTGTGCAAGGCCTTGGGTTTGACTGATCTTTAGTACTACATAAATTAATTAGTGAAAGAATTTTGTTTAAAATTTGTTAACTATTTATTATTTTTTATAGTATAATATTACCTGTCTATTTTCTGTTTCTCATTAGAGCCTCGGGATTCGTGTTTACTCGTTTAGATGGTTCCATGGCTCAAAAGAAAAGAGTTGAATCAATTCAATGTTTTCAAAACACAGAAGCAGGATCTCCTACTATAATGTTACTGTCCTTAAAAGCAGGTGGAGTTGGCTTGAATCTTTGTGCAGCTTCTCGAGTGTTCTTAATGGATCCAGTAAGTACTTATATAGACTTTTCAAAATGTTATCCTCCCCCCTACCCCAGGCCACCAAACTAAAAGAAGAAAAAGAAACAACCTGTTTGGTAGGTGCCTTTGTAGTTACAATTGATTGTGAAAAGGTAACATTATCCTTATTTTCAGATGAGGAAACTGGTCACAGAAGAGTAAATAAAATTAAACAATGTGCCCAGTTTCTGTGTTCTTAAGTACTATTCTGTGTATTTCTAATATTCTGAGTACATAAAACATGCCTGTTATAATGCTTTTAAGGTTCAGTAAGGAGCACACTAATGAGATTTTACTTTGTGTTGTATGATAAAGCATTGGGAATCTGACTATAAATCACATAGTGGCTCCTGTTGTGGTGCTGCCTCTATTTTGCCTAAAAATTAGGTCAAATGCAATTTTAAACCTCTCACTTCTGAGAGTTAGGAATTCCTGAAGGAGACCTAAAATGTATATTTTAAATATATATCCTAGCTAATTCAGGTTCAGCTGTCTATCAACATGTTCTGGGTAAGTTTGATTAGCTGATAGAGTGTAGTCACTTGTGGTTGTGTAATTCAGGACCTAGGAATAAGAGAACCACAATTCACTCTGCACATTTCTCACAAAGATAAACGATCTGAGGTTGCATATACATAGGAATGCATTTTTCAGAATGTACAGAATGGGCTCTTTAGGTATAAGGGCCATAGACTGGTTTTAATTTCTAATTTGCTCAGTGTGCTATGTGGGCCAGAATAATCCTATACAATTTCTATGTACTGATACATTTAAGATTTATGGTTCAAGGCTTGCTCCTTGAACCAGAAGATTTAAAACATGTAGACATTTTACTGAGATTAAGAATCTTAGTTATTCCTGTAAGGCTTCCTAGCTTGGTGCATGTGTCATGGCTTTTGTGTGTGTGTGTGTGTGTGTGTGTGTGTGTGTGTGTGTGTGTGTGTGTGTGTTTCCTTTTTGAGGATAACCTTCCTAGAGTCATGTTGTAACCACTTCCATGGGTACAAATCATGGGTAGCAGTGATGTATATTTTCTTAGTGCTATGGTTAAGTCTAAAGTTAAAATTTATGGTTACTGTTTTAAAAATCTTGTATGTTATGTCATACTAAGTAATTCAGTTGATTATCCTAAAAGTTCATTTTTAGAACAGAGTCCAAAATTATTTTGTCTTGCTTAAGTTGGCCACTCAAGTTATAGTTTAAAAAACAGTGTCAGAATGTTTTAGCACTCTTGTAGTAGATTAATTTTCATTGAACTTGACACACTTTTCAATATCATTTCTAACTTAGAAGCAAAAGCCAACACTCAGAAAAATAAGACTGAACAACAGAAAACTCATTGAAAATCTTTTACCTTTTCATAAAGTATTCTCTAAGTGTTGGGGTAAAATTTGAATGACTGGTTACCTCCTTAATCGTTACATGTGAGAATGAATTCTGTATGTTTTATATTGTGAGATAATTTAGATTTCTGTTAAACTAGATATATATTATCAGCTTATCATTGTCCCTGGAATAAAATATAGGCAATACAAACAATTGATTTCATCTCTTGGTATAATAACTTAAAAATGTCTGTGAAATTCAAATAATTCATAAGGTTTTTAGAAAACCATATCTGATATATCCTGAAGTCAAACTTCTATACTGGAAAATATACAACTTTTAAATAATCAGCAAATTAACAGCAGAAGTATTTCTTTTCTCAGTCCCCAGGGAACTAAGAAGAAAATGACAGCCTAAGTATGAAATCATCTGCATATGAATTATGATTGTTTCTATTTTCAGATAGTACTTGCTGTGTAAATGTACTGTTACCCCAAAATACTGTTTTCAGGTTTGTATGTTGTGTATATGTTTTAGTGTGTACCTGTACAAGCGAGTATGTAGACCAGAGAATGACGTTGGCTGTCTTTTTCTATTGCTCTCCATGTTACTCCATCAAGACAGGATCTGTCATTGAACCTGAAGCTCACCATTTTGTCCAGGCTTGCTGGCCAGTGAAATCGTAGAATCCTCTTGTCTCTGTTCCCCAAAACTGATACAAGCACATGGAGCCATGCCCAGATTCTCTGTGGATGCTGGGGATTTCAAACCCAGGTCCTCATGTTTCCGTAGCAAATTCTATACCACTGAGCCACTCCTAGCTCTTGCTTTCATTTTTAAGAATCTTCAAATTTAACTTTTTTGTAACTTTTATTATTTATTTATGTGTATGTATCTGCAGTGTTTATAGCAGGTGCCTGAGGAATCTAGGCAGAAAGCTTCACATACCCTGGAGCTGGAGTTACTGGTGATTTGGAAATGCTTGAATGGGGAGCTGAGAACTGCATTCCAATCCTCTGAAAGAGCAGCATGCACTTTAACCATTGAACCATCTCTCCAGCCCCCAAATTTAATCTTTTTATTTTGAGATAGGGTGGAGCTTGCTAAATAGGACTTGAATTCATAGGGATCTGCATGCCTCTGCCTCTAGAATGCCACTGTGAGGAGCAATGTACTGGTTACCTTGACAGCAGTTTCTTATTTTGAGATTATAATGTAGCTATACTATTACTCCCTTCCCTTTCCTCCCTCTAAACCTTCTCATCATGTGCCTTGCTCTCTTTTAAATTCATGGCCTATTTCATTAATTGTTATAAACATATATGTATGTGTGTATTCCTAAATGCATAAATATAACCTGCTCAGTCTGTATAATGTCATTTGTGTGTATGTTTTTTTCAGGGCTGACCATTTGGTATTAGATAATCCCTGAGGAAGACTAATTTCTCCCACTCTCAGAATTCCTTAGTGGACTGTAGCTCTTTGTCCAGTTGGAACCTCTTGGACTTTCCTCATACTTATTAATTAGCATGTCAGAAGCTATACCCCTAAAGTCTCACCAACATGACTGCCTCTATCACTTTGAAGCCATTTGGCTGCTACTGAAGAATTCTGTAGTTGGGTGTTTCTTTTCCTTTTATTTCATCATTTTCTTCAGCTTAAGAAAGAACTCATGTACTTTTAAAGTTTATTTTTGAAGTCCAGCTGATTCAAACAGATACATATGGTTGCATCAACAAATCTGAAAGAGATTTTAGGACTTTTGACTTCCTTTGAAACTTTTTTGTATTGTATTTCATCAATGGGGAAAAGAAAATCAGCAAAAGAGGAGAAATTTTTTTATATGAGGACCTAAGAATGCCATCTATTCTGTGGTAATTTAAGCCATCTGAGAGAATGTATTTTCTTTTTACACTGAAAAGTCACATTTTACACTGAAAACTTTCATTTTACACTGAAAAGTCACAAGGTGTTCTGATCAGGTGACAGACCATTATGTTGCTGCTGCCAACACCTGTCAGGCTTTTGTTGGGCACAAGTTGAACATTCCTATCTGAGATGCTCTAAAACTTGAATCTGTTGGAGTACTAACTCAAACTTCAAAAAGTTTTGGACTTTGGGTTTTTAGATTATGGATCTATTCAGACATTCCAAAAACCTGAAACAATGAATGTTAAAACACACTGGTCTTAAACATTTCAGGTAATACTTTCAGCTATTGCTGAAGTGGATGCAATGCAGTATATTGGGAGAAGGCTGCCTGTCTTCATAGTGATTGGGGAATAGCTTTCTTCCAGGAACATCTATAATGTCAGTGTTTGAATTCAGTTAGAATTATACATATAATGAGATGAAGGACTAGTGCAGAAGACTTACACTGCAGAGCAGTAGTCATACAGTTTTGTTCTCCGTAGGCCTGGAACCCTGCTGCAGAAGATCAGTGCTTTGACAGATGCCATCGATTTGGCCAGAAGCAAAAGGTTATCATCACAAAAGTGAGTTTTTAAAGCTACCTATTTTAAGATTATGTTGCTTTTTAAAAGTAACACAGGCAATATATGAATACATTACTGCCATGACTAAAGTAGAATTGTGGAGAAAATGTAAAACACACCCTTTTTCCTCCTTCATAATTTATAACATGTTCAAAGGGTTTTTTTTCCTCTGTAGCTACATACATTCTTATGTATATATCTCAACATAAAAAAATTGAAAGAAAATGGGGTAATACTTTATTATTTTATAATACATTCTTTTCCCTTAAACATGTAGTGATGATTTACTATCTATCTGCATTTAGATCAACACTTTCTTACTGTGGTAAAATGTGTACACAGTTTATCATTTCAGCCATTATTTTAAATACATAGTTCTTCTGCATCAGGAATACTCTACAGTGTACAGTCATCATCACCATCCTCCTATAGATCTTTTCTGTCATACTTAACAGAATCCTTCTATATTCACTTTATGTAAAGGAGTCTTTACACTCCCTATTGCTCTCCACTACCCAGCCACTCACAAACACCATTCTGTCTGAATCTGAATCTTCATTATTACCTGCACACAGATCCATCATGAGTAAATAGTCTTCAGCTTTGTAATGAAAACAATGCTGTCGTTAATGATGCTGTACATACATCTTTGGGTACATATACTAGTATTTATTAAGGATAGATTCACAAAACTATACTTGTGGATTTAGAATTGTTATTAAATAACTTCAAGTTGCCTTCAGTGTAGGCCATGAAATGCCTGGGGGTGTAGCTCACCAATAGAGTGCTTATATAGCCTATAGAAGGCCTTGGGTTTGATCACTAGCATTACAAAACAAAAAGCAAACAATAATAGTCTTTATGATGTATGGAATAGTATGTGTGGTCATAAGCTAATGAGCATCTACTAATTTGCATATACATTAAACACGGGCCTTTAATGTAGTCCATATGTCTACTGATCATGGTTGTTTTTCCTTCTGTGAACTACTTGTTCATTTCTTTGCTTTTGCTTGTAGTACTAATAGTTTCATAGAGTCAGGAACTTCTTTTTCCATTTTGATTTTAGTTTATTATATATGTTGGAAATGGTTTATTCCCAGCTCTTGTCTGTAAACTTTCTGAGTGTTTTGTCAAGAAAAATTTTAAAGTTCTATGATTTCAAATGTGCTCTATTTTTATTATTTGAACATGTTGTTCAGAGGTCTTTGTTTTCTGTAGTTACAGAGAAGTAAGCATTATAAGAACCTTTTTACCTTATCAGATGTCAAAGCATTCTTTGTTTATATTAGGTTTTAATGTCTTAGGGATAGTGGTTTTATTTGTACTTTAAAAAAAAATCATTCTGGCCAGGCAGTGGTGGTGCATGCCTTTAATCCCAGCACTGGGGGGCAGAGCCAGGCAGATCTCTGTGAGTTCGAGGCCATCCTGGGCTACAGAGTGAGTTCCAGGAAAGGTGCAAAGCTACACAGAGAAACCCTGTCTTGAAAAATTGTTCTGTATTTACTTCTGATTCTTTTGGAAGATACTGTGTTTTGTGAAATGCTTCTACACTTATTCCTTTTCCAAATGAAGAAGCAATTGTTTGTTACCATTTGTGTTTTTGGAGTTTGGTTTGTTTTGAAAAGTCCATAGTCTTTTCTACTAGTAGGAAATGTGTATGGGGTCTATTTTTAGTCCATTATTTTTCACTGATGTCTTCCTGTTATCAGAACAATACTTTGTGATTCTTTTTACTTTTTTTTACCAAGTATGTTTGTGTTAGGAGCTGTATAGATGGCTCAGCAGTATAGAGTGCTTGCTGCTCCTTAGAGGACCCAAGCTTAGTTCACATCACACAGATCACACAGCTCACAACCACCTCCAGCTCCAGAAGACCATCCAACACCCTCTTCTGGCCTTCATCACATTACACACACATATAAATAGAAATAACTTAATAAAAAAGCATGTTTATGTGGTTATGCAGGTGTGTGCTTATAGACGCCAGAGGACAACCTAGGATGTTGCTTCTTAAACACTATGTACCTTTTTTTTTTTGTTGTTTGTTTGTTTGTTTGTTTGTTTTTGAGATACATTTCACGGGCCCGGAATTTGCAGGCTAGGCTGGTTTGCTAGTCAATCTTAGAGATCTGCCTGCCATCTCCCCAGCACTGGAATTATAAGCATATCATTCTATGTCTGGCTTTTTAAATGTGGGTTCTGCAGCTTGACTTAGGTTCTACTGACTGAGTCTAGAAAGTAGGTTTAGATAACTGATAAAGAGTTCTCTTTAATGTTAATTTTGAAAATTTTATTAGTTGTCACTGTTATGGAAATTTGAATCTACACCATTATATCCCACTTGAGGAATATTGCTCAGGATTTGTGAAATTTATAAATCCTTTGATAACTATCATTTTTAGCAATAAGAAATATTTATGAATAGAAACATTAAATAATGTATCTAATTTTTTAAATGTATTTCAGTAAAGTTCTATAATACAACTTCTATTGTTATTGCAGTAACTAGGACATTTTATATTCTAGTGTTTATTAGGAACACTTTATTATTTCACATTAAATGCTTTCCTGGAAAGTTTCTAGTGGAAATCTTGAATAAGACTTGGACATGGAATAAGACTTTTATTCCTAGGTGAGAATTTTATTACTTTTAAGATATTTATCAGGAATGTTGAATTTTATCAAGTTTCAATTTATTCAAATATTAATTTAATCATCTGTTGCCATATTGACACATACCTCCTCATGTAAGTGAAGATTGTCATTTATGGATGCTTGATTTGACTCCTAATATAATACTAAATTCATTTTGATAATACTCTAGCTTCAAGGATACCTATATATTTTGTGTGTGTGATTTTTCTCATGTGATGATGGTGGGCAGCGGTATAAATTCTGTGCTTTCAGCCATATTCTTCATACAAAAAAAAATGACATTGGGTGAGAAAGGGAAGCCATGCTTAGTTGTAAATATCCTCATTGCATGTTGAGAAAAGGTTTTTTTATTATATATATATACATTTAAATGTGAAATAATAAAGTATTCCTAACTAGGACACTATAAAATGTCCTATTACTTGCAATGACAAAAGAAGCTGTATTATAGATGAACCTGTTTTTAAGGATACTTCAAATAGCAATAACTTCCATTGTAAACTGGCCTGACAGATAAATATGTATTTACATATATATGTGTGTATGGATATATAATATAATCATTTGATTTTGAAATCTGGGTATTATTGAAATACAAATTCTTTTAAAGCTGTTATTTTTATTCTTTCTGACTTTAGTGGGCAGTGTTATTAGCATGTTAATCCTTTGTGTGGCTCAGGAATAGTCTAATTTTCTTAGTAAGGTTTTTTAAAGAGAATTAAAAAAAAAATTTGTTACCTGAAAAGTTCTTAACCAACTTCATTTTTTTTTTTTTGAAGTTCATTGTAAAGGATTCTGTTGAAGAAAATATGTTGAAAATACAAAACACAAAAAGAGAACTTGCAGCTGGAGCTTTTGGAACTAAAAAAACATATGCTAATGAAATGAAACAAGCTAAAATCAATGAAATCAGAACTTTAATTGATTTATAATTTGTGGAATTTTGTAAAGTCACTTGAAACAGATACCTAAGTTTTAAACATGAAAAGTACAGATTTAAGAAAGATCTAGAGAATATTCTTTGTATATGGGGCATATTTTATATTAATAAAGTGGTATTATTGTCATATCTCTTCTATATATGAATCTTATATTTAATGATACTTCAAATAGCACTAAGTTCTATTGTAAACTGGCCTGAAAGAGGAGGTCCTAGA